GATCGTGGAGGAACCGGGTTCGAAGCCGACCTTCCGAGCACCATATCGGCTCAGCCCTACGGAGCTGACCGACATGAAAAAACAAATCGAGTATCTCCTAGCCAAAGGACTCATCCGACCATCTACTTCGCCGTACGGTGCCCCAGTACTCTTCACACCGAAACCGGACGGAAGCCTGCGCATGTGCATCGACTACCGAGCTCTTAACAAGCAGACCATCAAGAATAAATATCCGATACCGCGAATCGATGACCTGCTTGACCAGCTTCGGGGAGCTACGGTATTTTCCAAACTGGATCTGCGGTCCGGATACTGGCAGATACGCATGGCGGACAACTCTATCCACAAAACTGCTTTCCGAACTCGGTATGGATCATACGAGTATTTGGTAATGCCGTTCGGACTCACCAACGCACCGGCAACGTTCCAAGCCGAAATGAACCACATTCTACGACCACTTTTGGACGACTGCGTGGTGGTGTACCTGGACGACATACTCATCTACTCGCGCGACATGAAGCAGCACGTCGAACACCTGCGACGCGTCTTCGAAATTCTCCGACGAGAACGATTCTACGTCAAACTATCCAAGAGCGAATTCGCCCTTGAAAAGGTCCAGTTCATAGGACACATGGTGAGCGCTCAAGGAGTTCACGTCGACCCCAAGAAAATCGAGGCCGTACGCACCTGGAAGACACCCGAGAACGTGAAGGAGTTGCAGCAGTTCCTAGGCTTCGCTAATTACTACAACAGGTTCGTGCCACAGTATGCGAAAATCGCAGTACCACTCACGAATCTGCTGAAGAAGAACACGCCCTACAAATGGGAGCCGAAGCACCAGGAAGCCGTGGAGCAGCTGAAGCAAGCACTTACGTCCGCACCGGTACTCATTTTGCCAGACCCCGAACGCGACTACGTCATCGAAGCTGATGGCAGCGAGCAAGCAGTGGGAGCAGTTTTGATGCAAGATCAAGGGAATGGACTGCAACCAATCGCTTACCTAAGTAAGAAACTATACGGGGCAGAACTCAACTACCCGATACACGACAAAGAGGCCCTAGCTATCATCATCGCCTTCAAAACGTGGAGATGCTATCTCGAAGGACGAAGAACAACCGTCTACACCGACCACTGCAGCCTGAAATACTTGAAGACACAACCCAACCTTTCCAGGCGGCAGGTCCGGTTGATCGACTTCCTCGAGACACACTTCCACTACGACATCGTGTACAAGCCCGGTCACAAGAACAAAGCAGACGCTCTCAGCCGGCCTGCACACGTTGCCGCTATTCAGGTCGAAGGGATGAATCCACTACTCAAGGGACTCTTCACACACGGGTATACCATCGACCCCGAAATTCCCTTGGCAGAAAAATGACATCTACTACAGTGGGACAACGACATTGCGTACCGGAAAGGATCAACGAAAATCTGGGTACCCAATTACCCTCCTTTGCGCCAGTTACTACTCGAAGAATACCACGACGTCCTCTACGCCGGACACTTCGGTAGCAACAAGACGCTGACCGGTATCGCAAAACACTACTACTGGCCTCACTTGGCAGATGATGTTCAGAAATTCGTCACCTCGTGTGATACATGTCAACGGATGAAGAGCAGTAAGCAGAAAAAAGCAGGACTGCTACAGCCTCTTCCTGTCCCAGAACAGCCATGGCAAGTGGTTAGCCTGGACTTCATCACCGGGTTACCACCTACCACTAGCGGTCATGACGCAATTCTTGTCGTCATCGAGAAATTCTCTAAGATGGGACACTTCATCCCGACACACACGACGGCACGCACCGAGGAGACAGCACAACTCTTTGTTCGTTACATTATCTCACAGCATGGCATTCCAACTACCCTCATCTCCGACCGAGACCCCAAGTTCACCAGCAAGTTCTGGAAGGAACTCATGTCTCTGCTCGGCACCAAACTCGCCATGTCATCCGCATACCATCCGCAGACAGACGGACAGACCGAGCGCCTTAACCAGATTGTGGAGCAACTCCTCCGAGCAGCCTGCAAGAACTCACGTTCAGTCAGGTCGGGAATGCGGTTATAAACTTCCTCCATTTGCTGCGTGTACTGAGCTACACTCCCGAACTGTCGGTGCCGATGGATTTTTTCCCGGGCAAGGAAACTGGAATTTATCGGCTCGAAGCGTTTCAGCAGGTCAGCGCGGAACTGCTGCCACGTGGCTTCACCGTGGATGAAGGTACTGTTGCCGCCAATCCACTCGAGTGCCGGCCCTCGCATCAGTGTCGCCGCGAGTCGTACGCGTTGACCGTCCCAGACTGGCGAGCTCCATCCGACGGCTGCGAAGTAGATCTCCATCCCGGCGATCCATCTGCGGGCGTCGGAGTTTCGATCGCTCGGATCGAACGGCTCAGGTGGGCGCGGTTTCGGAGCCTCGAGAAACTGCTGCGACTGCTGCGTCGTCGCCGTTGTCGTCTCGTGCTGCGCTCCGGCGAGTCGAGTTACTCGCTCGAACTCGCTTCGCCATGCTTCGCGGTCCGCTCGCATTTCCTCCTGAAGGGCTGCGATGCGCGCGAAGAGCTGCTGGGTAACCTCGTTGTTGTCGAAGGTTGCCATCCTGTTCAAAACACGCACGGAGGGGTAATTCGAAAATTGCGGAGCTGGTGCTTACCAGAATCGGCATCGAATTGGTCGCCCCCGGCGGTTTTTCGAGGCAGGTTTTCCCCGCTGTTGCTGCTTTGTTGAGCGCGGCCGAGTGAGAAAAGCTCTGATTACCAAGTGTCACAGGATCGAATGTGTCGAGGAAAGGTTGCACTATCGATCAGTACAAAGCGCTTTTATACTTCCATAGTACATCAGGTAACCAGGTTTATCTTATCCTAGGGGAATAGACCCTTCTAGAAGATAGAATCACCCTGCGTATAGCCACGCGAGGCTATTGGCTTTAAGGGATTACAGCAGGATTACGCTAGATAGAGCGCGCCAGTACATCCCAAGCCTGGTCGGTGATATAATGATAATAGCACGATAACCCAAAGGTTAATGGAAAAGGGAGAATAGGAAACCAAATGAGATGGAATAAAAAGAGAAATGGAATAAGAAGGAAATAAGAAAAGGCCAAGTGGTGTAACGGGGTCGTACTCTCACAGCTGGGGAGTCTCGATCTCGGTGAGGGTGTCGACAAAGGCGGTGAGAGTGAGGTCAGCCGGGTGCAGGCTAAGGAAGTGATCGCGAGCACTAGCGAGGCGGTCTGGCAGGCGCATGGCAATAAAATAGACTGTCATGCAGAAATGGGGGGGGAGCGCAGTGAGCTGGGGCAGCAGTGCTGGCAGTGCGATAGCGGGTCTCTAGAGCACGCAGGTGAGTGGCTAAGTCTGCGACGGTAGGGAAAGCTGCAAGGTCTGGGAAAAAGCATAGGGAAGAGCAGGCGACCAGCAGAAGCAGACGCGGGTGTGGAATAGCGGGCAATAACAGCATCTAGGTAAGCTTTGGCCGTCTCAATAGTAGCAAAACGCGAGGCAGCGCTCAGAAACCAGGAAGGGCATGGCTAATGGCGACCTGAGCGACTGCATCGTGGGAGTCCCAGACCGCACGGGCAAGCGCAGCAGTAGAGAAGGTCTCACGGTCATCAGAGGAGGGATCAGCAGGGAGGGGGGCAGGGACAGGGGGGGCGGGGGAGCAAGCCGTCAACATGGACAACCAAAGAGTGGCCATCCTGACGCTGACCTGTGAGGTGGGCGGCGGAGATCGGAGGAGCCAGGCGGCGAAGTCAACCGCATGGCCTCCGGCGTCCAGTCGGAGCACAAAGTCCGCCATCGTGCAGGGTCAGCGGCACAGCTCCACAGGAACTCAGCTACAGCCCCCTCCAGCACAGTGGCCATGAAGCGCCTCAGCACGGGCGAGCGGAGGAGACGGAGCCCGAGGCGGCACAGCAGGACGGGCCGGGGCGAAAGGGCCAGGCAGGTACGGTGGGGCCAGGCAGGCACGGCAGGGCCAGGCAGGCGTGGCGGGGCCAGGAGGCATGGCGGGGCCAGAAGGCACGGCGAGGCCAGGCAGGTGCGGTGGGGCCAGGTAGGCGCGGCAGGGCCAGGCAGGCGCGGCGGGCCAGTCAGGGGCGGCGAGGCCAGGAGGCGCGGCAGGGCCTGGCAGGCGCGGCGGGGCCAGGCAGTGCGGCGGGGCCAGGCAGGCGCAGCGGGGCCAGAAGGCGCGGCGGGGCCAGGCAGGTGCGGTGGGCCAGTCAGGGGCGTCGGGGCCAGGAGGCGCGGCAGGGCCAGGCAGGCGCGGCGGGGCCAGAAGGCGCGGCGGGGCCAAGCAGGTGCGGCGGGGCCAGGCAGGCGCGGCAGGGCCTGGCAGGTGCGGCGGACCAGTCAAGGGCGGCGGGGCCTGGAGGCGCGGCAGGGCCGGGCAGGCGCGGCGGGGCCCAGGAGGGGCGTGACGGGCTAGGAGGCACGAGAGGGGCCCAGGAGGGGCGTGACGGGCTAGGTGGCGCGCCAGGGGCCCAGGAGGGGCGCGACGGGCTAGGAGGCGCGAGTGGGCCTAGGAGGGGCGCGACGGGCTAGGAGGCGCGGCAGGGGCCCAGGAGGGGCGCGACGGGCTAGGAGGCGCAACAGGGGCCCAGGAGGGGCGCGACGGGCTAGGAGGCGCGATAGGGGCCCAGGAGGGGCTACGGGGCCTAGGTGGGGGCGGCGCGACGGGGCCTAGGTGAAAGCGCGACGGGGCCTAGGAGGAACGGGCGAAAGCAGTAGGTGGGGGGGGGGTCGAACATACGGGTGATACCATATCAAAAGAAAAACTGAATAATTGCATAGAGGGAGAGAACAAGGGTATAATACCTAAGAGTGTTGTACCCTCTAAGAGGTGACCCTATACAGTCTATACAAATATGAGTTATACATATATTTGACACCCACTGCACATGTCTCAACGACCCCACTTGAAATGAGAACGATGCCTATTGCAAAGGACAAGAAAGCAAGCTATCTCAATATTATAAATTTTTAAACACACGTAGTGTTTTTCAAAAATTGTGTATTGTGAAAGCGAAGCTGATTGTACTGAAGCATTGGGCATCGTCGAAGCGCGCTACTCGCCCCTCTCCAACTACATATACGTGGGTTGGAGCTCATTTACCTCCACCCACGTCTCTCATTTTTCAAACGGCTCAATCAACTTTCCCACCCACCCCCCCCTCTAGACAATCGCCCATCTCCAATTGACAGCCGGTCACTTGAACGGGGCGCACAACTAGGATCATGATGTGTGCATGTTTAGATTCTTATAAGCTAGTAAGCGACTATTGTACCATGCCACTTGAAATGAGAACGATGCCCACTTGAAATGAGAACGATGCCTATTGCAAAGGACAAGAAAGCAAGCTTTCTCAATCACTTTATTGAATCAAGCTATTCGAACGTCAAGTGCTGCGCATTGACTAGCGTGGCATATGCACCCCCCTGTGCCACCAGCTCGGCATGGGTACCTCTCTCCACCAGTTTGCCGGCCGCCATCACTACTATTTGATCTGCAGCCTGCACAGTGCTCAAGCGATGGGCTATCAC